TGGGTTTCAACTAGATGTTCTTCTCAAACGAAAGGCTGCAAAACTCGGCTAGCACGTCATCAAGAGCCTCGATAACACAGCAGACTACTTTCATGAAGGCATACAATCAGTTGTCACGCTACTATATATCTCCCAATAATATGTTTTAGTAAGATGATATTTAAAGGTACTCTATGTAACTTTTTTGTCCAAAATACATCATCAGTGCTTCTTCCAAAATGTGTTTTTGTCTGATTCACTATTAAGCCTATTTGAAGTGTTGCTCCGGCTACTTTGACGTGTGAAAGGTTGATATGGAAATTGCTAAATATCGAACCTCTGGGGAATCACCGTTTAAAAAAGAAACCGCTGAACAGAGGAGAGACAACTGGCAACATGACAGAGTTCGTAATAAAACAAGAACCAACATTGGCTTGGCTTTTCATATAATGAAATACAATGATAATTGAGAGACAAGTGTTCCTCTAGAGCCTGATTTAGCAAATTTGATACTCACATTTTCACATGATTTTTCTTAAAAATTATATATGGATAATTAAGGAAACCTAAGTTGCATCAGTCCATTAATTCTTCATCTTCAAGTATTATCAAGTTATTCTTACGTTTCTAAAAATCAGTATAGATTTAACAGCAAACAGACATGTGTACCACAATGTATTTAGAATTATTCTAAATTATAAGTACAGTATAAACTATTAGTCAGATAGATGGCATGTAATACAGTAGGCTTTATAGGGTTAATTTACAGCAACAGAAAGGAAAACTTTGGTAACACTTCATTTTGATGGTCCCTTTTGAAAATTCTGTTGACTATAAGCAACATTGCAATTACATGTCAACTAACTCTCATAAGAGTATTAGTAAACTGTCTGCTTAATATCCAACAGACATTCTACTGACTATAAATAACTTTGCAACTACATGTCAACTTATTTTAACCCTACCAGTCTACTAATACTCTACTGACACTAATGAGAGTTAGACATAGACTGTATATAGGTGCAATATAGTCAACAGAATGTTCAAAAGGGACCATCAAAATAAAGTAAAACATGATTTTTTTTGTCTTGAATTTCAGAATGCTCAGTTATACTAGCTCAGTGCTGACTCAGTTGTGGCAGTTTTTTTGTGAATTGTAAAGATTGTGGGTGATTGGTTATAACTTTATTAGTGGCATGAGAGAATTCGAATGAAATTTTTCTGAAAGCCATTTTCCACCAGAGAAGGTGAGTCCAAGTACAGTCCCGCTAGAACTCATTACCTGGACTACAAATGGAATCCGAGTTATGGAGTGCTTTGTGTTCACAAAGAGCACAAAGAGCTTTTCAAGATGAAATTCATGGACTGGCCCATGGTCACCCGATAAATAGAAGAGAATAACAGAAGGAAAAAAAAAGATTGTGCAGTTCTGCAAATCTTTGCAGTTTGATAGGTGCTAAAAAAACACCAGTGCATTCAAGGTACTATATGTGCTGTGCATCCAGCTAATAATTGATTAACAAAAGGATCCCCATTAAACATCATATAGCTCTGTCCTCTTTCTCATTCATATTTAGAGAATCAGTTCATTGACATTTTTTTGTAAATAAACCTTCACTAATCAAATAATTTTCTAATTAATTTTATGCAGTCTTGCCTTTTTTGTTGAAGCTAAATATAAATCCTTTAAATGTTGTTTGTTGTTTGGTGGTGTTTGTTTTTTGTATTGTAAAATCTTATTACAAATGGTGTTTGTTTTTTGTATTGTAAAATCTTATCATCCCTAAAATGTGTTTCTGTGCCAGGTAAATACCATCTTAACGTTGCATGATCTTGTTGGTTATAAATTTGTATTGTCCCCTTAAATGTGTTATTATTTTAATAAAATTTTAAAGATTTACTCAAAGAAACAAATAGCCATAGGGCCTATATATATATATATATATATATATATATATATATTTGAAGTGTTCAGATGCAAAAGCCTCTAAGTGCCATTTGCAATTTTCTTCTAAAATGATAATTTCTATCAAGCTTGTATATTTAAGTTCAGTAATTTCACTTAAATGGCAATGAAGATTACCTATTAATTGTCATTTAAGTGAAATTACTGAACTTAAATATACAAGCTTGATAAAAATGATCATTCTAGAAGAAAATTTCAAATGGCATTTAGAGGCTTTTGCATCTGAACTCTTCATATATTTTGCAAACACTCAAAGCCTACATTCAAAAAAATGCTGGGTTGTTTCTGTAAACAAATTGTTGGGTTGATTGTGCTGGGTCAGAATGCTGGGTTGTTTGTGGCACTGTAAACACATTCTTACTGTAGGTTGCTCATGCTGGGTCAAATGAGTTGTAACGGGGTCATTCACAAATAAACAGCTGGTTGGGTTATTTTGTAACCCTGCGGTTTTTAGAGTATATTTCCATGAGGTGTGAGTTGCTGAAATGCTGTCACATTAATAAAAACTGCCGTGATATTTAAAGGTTAGCGGTCCATTGTCAGTAGTGATGCATAATGAACACATATCAAAGTTACTTTCAAACCAAGCAGCTTTCTGTTTGTCAGCGGTGAATACGCTACTTGAACATGAGCTTAATCTGAGAGAGGAACTTTTTCGCTCACACTAAACTCCAGATGGTGCGCATTTCTATCAAAATGACTAAATTTTGCTGGAAAATGTTAAATATATAACATACTGAGAGCACCATGAGGTAGGGTAGGAAATGTTTTTCATGAACTCTTTTTTTATACTGTTTGAAATGGTTAAAAACTGGTAAAGGTCCCACCAGGTCGATTCTATTTATTCTATCATCCCTGCACTGATTAACTATTAAGTCCTGCAACGATAACAAAGTATTGCTACTGAACTATAAGGCCCTAAATGGTTCAGCTCCTGATTTAACCGATCTTATATCACAATCCATCACGCTCTTTAAGGTCACAAAACTCTGTAATGTTTTCATCTGTCTCCTAAACTCTGGTATAGCCTTCCTGAAAATGTTCGGGGCTCAGACTCACTCTCCCAGTTTTAAATTAACCCTAGATTAAGTCTATTTAGTCAAGCATTCATAATGCATCTCATTACATTGTACTCCAATTATGTCAGATCAAAAGCATGACTAACTGCTTTAAGGGTTATGAACAGGAGCAATGCTAACTATTTTTCATTTCCACCTCAGGATACCAGTCGCCGAATGAACTTTTGCTGCTTTCATGCAATGTTGTAACCGTAATTACGAGATGACAAGCCGTGGCGTTTTATTCGGAGCTGTTCACATCCTCAGACTCGGATTTATGCAATTCTACATTTACATTACATTTACATTTATTCATTTAGCTGACGCTTTTATCTAGCCTGGCAAGCCAGACCTACATCAAGATGTTAGGGTCTGGGAACTTATCATTGACAGGGCTCAATCCGAGGGGCGGGATAAACAGTTTTCTTTCAAATTCTCTCTGCACTCAATTGGATAGCGCTACAGCCAATCAGAGCAAAGAAGAAGGTGATGTAGTCAGCGGAGCAAGTTGATATATTAAAGGGATACTCCACTTTTTTTGGAAATAGGCTCATTTTACAACTCCCCCAGAGTTAAACAGTTGTGTTTTACCGTTTTCGAATGAATTCAGACGATTTTCTGATATTTAGAAGAATATCTGTAACCAGACTGTTTCTGGTCTCATTGTCTACCATATATATTTTTTCCTACTATGGAAGTCAATGAGACCAGAAACTGTCTGGTTACTGATATTCTTCTCAATATCAGAAAATCAGCTGAATTCAATGGAAAACGGTAAAACTCAACTGTTTGACTCTGGGGGAGTTGTAAAATGAGCCTATTTCCAAAAAAAGTGGAGTATCCCTTTAAACTTTTACCGTATCCAGTCCATAGCTGTCAACATTGAACATTGAAAATAAGGGAGATTTCCCAGAATCCGTCCCCAAAATAAGGGATTTTTTTGTTTTTTACATGACCCACAAACTTTAAAAATAAAACACTAATCATTAAAAGTCTAAAGAGTTTATAACTAGCCTACATATGTGTGAGAGAGAAATAGACAGTATGTGTGTGTGTGTGTGTATGAGAGAGAAAGAGACAGTGTGTCATTAAAAAAATAATATCATAGAGAATGTTTAAATACTAATATCAGCTTACGAGGGAAACGGAGGCAGTGGTGCTTCGGAGTGCTGGAAATGATTCGGGAGTGGTCCGTGCACCTTTAGCGATCAGAGCGCGCGCTGACACGGAGTAAAGCATTTATACTCGACGACACAGCACGAGTGCGGAAAAAATGACAAGTTGATCATTTCGCCATAGCTTTTTATCCGAGGATGAACGACTTCAAACCGAATATGTCCGAGCTTGCTCTGATCGTCTCAACTCGGTTGTCATTATGTTAAGCCCGCCCGCCGACTCTATACACCATGTGATTGGCCCGGCCAGAGTTGGGTTTTTCCAGCTAAAACGTCTATGGGGAGTTGCTAGACCACACTTTGCTGCACAATAATTTTTGCTGCCACTAGGGTGCGTCTAGATTTCTAGACTATAGCTTTTATCCAAAGCGACTTACAATTGCTATATATGTATGTCAGAGGTCGCACGTCTCTGGAGCAACTAGGGGTTAAGTGTCAACTAGGGGTTAAGTGCAACACTTTCAAAGTCAGCACTTTTAAGTTGTTTAAATTCATTATTATTGCAATGTTATTTTCTTTGAGACAGGAGGTATTTTAACGCCATCTCTCGAGACAGACTATGCTCTGGTTGTGAGCTTTCATATGTTTTGAAGGAAGCGTGGCTTTAGAGACACTCTGAAGGGAGAGTGGGTTGATGGATCTTATGATTTCGAAGCTAGCTTGCTATTGCTAGCCTCTCCAAAGTTGCCTAGCCTACCTTTAAATATAAGTTCAGTAGTGCTGTCAGTTTCAAATTAGTGTCCACAACACCATTACCGACAACAGCTTTTAAGTGTGTGTGTATTCAGAAACATAATCATAAAAATAGACACACTGCAGCCATTTAGCTCTAAACAGGATATCCCAAACTTTATTTCCTGTGTAGAGGTGTACTAGGGGAGCAATCACAGTTAGTGGACGTCCATCTTATTAGATTGAGTGCAACACAAAAATAAATCAAAACAAACAAAAAAAATCTCATATTTAATTATTCAGATCGAAATTAAAACAACCTAACGATTGAAACAAAACAGCGTGAAATAAAGCGAAAAGTGAGAAAGAAGAGAGAAGAGAAAGAGCGTGAGGAGGAAAATAGAGTCAAGCTCATGACAAGAGGACTGTGTAAGACACACTATGCCACAAGGCCACACACACTTGCATTAACATGACTCTCAGCGTTGGCTTGTACACAAACAATGATTTGAGCCCCCAATCTACAAGACAGATAAGAGAAGCCTTCATTTACATCTGCTATTACGTTACAAACAATACATTCAGTCCTGCTTTGGCATGAGAGCTTTCTGCCATGTTGTTTACACTGCAAAAAAAAAAAAAAAAAAAAAAAAATCTGTTTTGTCCTGTTTCCTGTAAAAATATCCTCAACACTATTTGACATGTTAAATATTCAATTGTTATTTTCTCTTCTTCTGAAAGCTAAACCTCTTTAAATTGTGTATGCTTGAAACAACAAACGATTATTTGAGATATAGATATTCTCTTATATCAGACATGCAAATGTATCTCGTTTAATGGATTTTTAGATATTTCTACTGGAAAACAAGACAAAACGACTAGTTAAGAACAATATTCTTTGCTGTATAAGTGGATTTGCAAACCTTTATACATGCTATAAATTTATACATGATAAATAAGTGAAATGTAGACATTTACACATATCCTCATTGATCATGAATACCACATAGACTGCCATTGTTTACAAAATACAGCCTACAGAATTTCACTGGACACATTAATGCAAGATGTAAGTGAGGCCTTGGATTGGAGAGTTAGAGGAGAGAGAGAATGGGAGGGGAGGAAATAATATTATTTAAAGATTAGTATTAAACCCCTGAAAGGCTAGAGACCATCTGAGCAGTGAGGAAGAGAGAGGGGTTTAGGAATGTAAGACATACACAAGGCAAACCCTGACACTTCACACACATTCTCCTAATGTTTTACAGACATTTTCCAGATGGTTCACTGATTTTTGCAAGATGCTATACAGACTCGGAGCAGATAAATGGCGGATATGTTCCCTTAATTCTTACAGATATCACACACACACACACACTGCTCAGCAAATAAACAAGAACAAAACAAGCTCTATGCAACAATCAATCCAAAAGGCAATATTTGTCATTCTGAAGTTCTTAAGGGTCTCAAATAAATACATTGTATTCTCTCTGTGATAATGGCAGAGCGGTGACTCTGCCTTCATTCAACTGTACAGTATATACATACACACCTGAACGCTTCAACGACAAAATATCTCATACCGTTAAATAATACATCCACTGCAACATCCTTGACATATTGCTTCCTTTGTTTGTACATGTGCTCCTGTACCAAACGACAGATACTGCCTTTTTAATAAACATGAGCAAGTAAAAAAAAAAAAAAAAGAAACATTCAAATGAAACTTACGGACAGGAAAACCAACCGAACAAGCAAACGAAACAAAAGTCTGAATATCTATACTGCTTTCAAACCTCTGTCGACTACGTTAATGAAGGGGATTCTGCGTACTATATACAGACAGGTTAGCATTCATGCATTGTCAACACGAAGCACATTAACATTCCAAATATGGACATGGCAAACAAGGGGGCGGGGCTAGGTTTCACACACACAGGGGAGGGGGTTTTCAATACAGCCACACCCTGATTTACAGACTGCAGAGCACAGATGTACAATTGCTGACCCTTGCTCTGCCAAAGCAAATACATATACAGTATAAACCGGACAGACCATGTACACTTTGAACGCCCCGTTCGGAGAGACGCACCTGCGGTCGGCGAGCAGCACGTACGGCGAGTCATTGAAAATCTTCACGGCAGAACTTGGTATGGCTGTAATTCACATGGTTTCACCGACTCCAACTTCATTTGTTTATTGGTTGGTTAAATAGATAATAGGCTTCAGGAAAAAGTCTTTTTTTTTAATCAATGTCGTTTTTTTTCCTTCATTGTTTGTAGTGTCTTTCTTGTGGATCTTAGTATTAGCAAGCAACAGCGGACCATCTTCACCAGGGACTGAAGGTCATCATCGAAGCGAAGGTTTCCTATAGAAATGCCCTAAAGCTGGTACAATATTGTTTCCTTTCATTAGAAATGTAAAACCAAATAAAACACACGCAACGAAAAAGATAAACAGCTATTCAAGCTATTTTTTTTCTTCTCTTTCAAAATCAAGCCACTGAAACTACAAACCCCCAACACAGAATTCCGTTAAAAACGCTCTTTCGTCACAGGAAAAGGTGTTCAGATGCAGTAAAAGAGCTGTAGGCTGGATCCCTTCAGTACAAACACCTATAAGAAATGTCACCAAGGCCTCTTTATCCTTGCAAGGACATTTTTTTTTTTTTTTTTTTGGTGTGGGTAAAAAATGTACGATTCGAAATACAAAACCCACTTCAGGGGCTGTGTGGCACACTGCAGTTCTCCATTACAAAGATTTTCCCTTTGGCAAATTTGGCGCAAAATACACAATTATCTACGTCAGATCTACTCCGGAAGCGTGATTTTATTTTCACTTAGATCCACTAACATTGGAAATCAAACTTTTGGAAAGGACAGTGAAAAAACTCCTGCAATTGCGTTTTGAAAATTTAAAACGAGCTCCTTTTTTTTCAGTTTGTTTGTGTTAGACCATGCTATCCTATAAGAAGTTTAAAGTCAAATTCAGATTAGTTCTACAATTTCTGCTTTTAAAATAGACCTACGTCTAAAATCGTGACTACTCTACGAGATTTGCCTTACAGCTCCGTATGCAGCGAATCTACAAAGTACAAAGAAGTTATCTCAGCAGGGTTGGAGGGAAAGCGTGCCCTCGTAAACTCCACATAGATGAGTGACAGATGAGTGTATGGGACATTGAGGCATTTAGCAAAGTTACTAAGCAAAAGTCTTCCAATTTTACATGCTTGTTAATTGTGTCCGAGAACAAAAATCACCAAAAATATGGCCACTGGTTTTGCGTTTTTTTCTCGTAGTGCGTGTCCATAAATGTATGCGCGTTGGTTTGGACGGAAAGTAACAGTCATAATTGTAAACTCTTAATGTGATGTTGGCAAAAGCATGTCACATGCTGGATTATCTCACTACACTGACCTCACATACTTTCCATTGATTGCATAAATTAATAATCTAATCTTTAACGAACCGCGGTATGTTCATATTAGAGAATTCAGGATGTTCCTTAACCCGAGCTCATTCAAATAGCACTTTACGGTCTTTGAGAACGTCAGATCAAGGCTTGAATCGAAGTCTTGCACCAGTGCAGCTCTTGTTTCTGAAGCTTTAGCGCCAGGAGAGATTGGAGCTGGCATACTGCACTGACTTTATTGTTATTCTCTTTCTAAATTGAAATGAACTGCACCGGTGCAAGAGATGGATTAAAAACTGGCCTTCACAACAATAAGTTACACAGAGCTGCTCTTGAACACGACGAAAGCCGTTTAGAAGGATGCCCAAGCCGTAAACGAAAGGCAAAATTTCAACCCTTTCGGTTAGGACTGCTCAGATTACATAATCTGTAAACACATAAAGTGGTGTCTCTGAAAATTCACCCAAGTAAATTTACCGCTCGGTCCACATTGAGATAACAAACCTATAACACACAGCCACATTAACCCTTAGTTCCATGGCACTATGAAGGGAGCTTACAGATTCCACGGTCCCACGTGGCTTTTACACTGGTTTGGGTTAAAAAAGCACAACTACAGTAGTTAAAGGTAGCAATAGTAGCTTTCATAGTCTAGATTTAATGTTTGAACACTGTGGTCAAACCCCGTCCAATCAGATGCAGTCATTTAGCACACACAACAAACAGAGGAAAGAAGAGGATGAAGGAGTGGCGTGTGGAGAGAACAGAACAACAGGCCGATGGTCTGCGGAAAACGATTCTCCACATGAACCCGAAAGCGAGTCCACCGCTGTTGCCTTCTTTAGTCTTTTCCCTTTATTTGAACCTTTAGTCTTTGTGTATTTTCCACAGAATGCATGAACGTGTGTGTCACTGTGTGAAGGTGTGTAGTTCTGAGAGTGTATGCATGTGTGAGCGCGTGTACGTGTGTGTTTAGAAGCCCTTGATGTGGCAGTAAGCCTCAAGAGAGGAGAACAGGATGTAGAGGAGCCAGAGGCTGACGAAAAGCATGGTGGTCAGCACTTTCGCAGTCCGCGGACCCCCCAGCTCACCGCCGATGTCGGGCCGGCGGCGGTACATGAGCACCGCCACGCAGATGAAGGCGAAAATGGTGAAGAGGGTGACGGAGAAGGCCAGGCTACCCGGCTCCACCTTGAAATCGCGACCCTTTGAGTTGTGGTAGATGGCGGCGATGGACCAGGCCACTCCGATGCCCAAGAAGACGTTCACAGCATTGCTGCCGGTCACGTTTCCGATGGACGCGTCGGCGTACTGATCCTGTGTCGCTGCTACTTTACTGGCAAAGGTGTCTGAGAGGAAGATGATGAGGAAGGCAGGATAGGGGGGGAAAAAGGAGATAGATGGGGAAAGAAAGATTTTATTACAGTAAAATATCTTGATTATGTTGATTCATAAACATTCTGAGGGATTAAATAATAATAACTTAAAGGGATAGTTCACTCAAAAATGAAAATTACGTCATTAATTACTCACCCCCATGCTGTACCAACCCAGTAAGACCTTTGTTCGTCTTCGGAACACAAACGAAGATATTTTTGATTAAGTTTGAGAGGTGGATCACTGCTACATAGACTCCTAAAGGATTGAAACTTGATGGCCCAGAAAGTCATTGAAGAAAATTTTTAAATATTCCAAGTTCAACTTTAAGTTTATCAAGCGACGCAAATACTTTTTGTGCGAAAAAACAAACAAAAATAACGACTTTATTCGACTATTCCTTTTCTTCCTTGTAGGCCTGAGACGAGAGTTCAAGAGATTTACACGACGCATGCGCGAGAACTACGTTATTTTTCTACTACTTCTTGTTCAGTTATCGCGCATGCGTCGTGGACATCTCTTGAACTCTCGTCTCAGGCCTACAAGGAAGAAAAGGAATAGTCGAATAAAGTCGTTATTTTTATTTGTTTCACAAAAAAAAAAAAAAAGTATTCTCGTCGCTTGATAAACTTAAAGTTGAGCAACTGTAGTCACATGGAATATTTAAAAATTTTCTTCAATGACTTTCTGGCCCGTCAAGTTTCAATCCTTTAGGAGCCTATGTAGCAGTGATCCACCACTAAAAATTCATCAAAAATATTAATTTTCATTTTTGGGTGAACTGTCCCTTTAAATAAGTCAATAAACAAGTATAAATAAACAATACCAATTTTTTCCAGTCTCTTCCGGTCACCAAGGCTGCATTTATTTGATCCAAAATACAGCAAAAACACTAATATTGTGAAATAGTTTTACAATTTAAAAGAATTTTTTTCTATTTAAATATCTTTTAAAATGTAATGTATTCCTGTGATGCCAAAAATTCTCATCATTACTCCAGTCTTCAGTGTCACATGATCCTTCAGAAATCATTCTAATATGCTGAGTTCTGCTCAAGAAACATTTATTATTGATATCAATTCTGTATTGTCAGTAAACTTTTTCCCTCGATTCTTTGATGAATAAAAAGTTCAAATGAACAACATTTATCTGAAATATAATAAGCTATAAATAATAAATAAAAAATACAATCTATTGATTTACTTTACTTGTTTCGAAATATTTAGTTAATTTATTTTGGACCAAAAGTAAATAAATCATAAATCTAATGAGAATTGTAATTGAGTGAGGTTTATATTTAAAACAAGAACAAAAAAACAAAAACAAAACTCAAGACAAGAAGTATTTTTTATATGAGTAATTCATCTTGTTCGTCAAAATATGTTTAAAAAACATTCCAGGAAACAAAATGATTATTATTGTTACTATTTTGCAGAGCACAAACAAGCATAAACGCATAGTACCCATCTCCTCTCTCACTCATCTCTCCTTTTTTGGTGAGAATTTTTAAATGTTCTAATAACAGCCTGGTTAACCTCTGATCTGAGTTGAAATCAGTGAGCATTTAAACAGTGTGGTGTTTCTCGGTCGCTATATTTCTCTGACAGCGGAGAAACCGTGCTTTCTGTCTGGGAAGGCCTCTGCACATAGTATACACTGCATTTCCTTTTTTCATTTTCATCCCTCTCTTTCGTTATGCTAATGTAGTTCATAACACATGACCCTACTGAACTGCTTTTGATATTACTCTTTGCTGCCTGTGGTCATAAAGAGCCATTTCCCTAATTTAAAGGTCTCAATATCCTGCGGATACACACTCTAATATTTACACATTCTACAATTATATTCACACACAGATTATGATCAAGTAAAGACATTTATAATGTTACAAAATCGACTATTTCTAATATATTTCTAATCGACCTCGCTGTTTTTAAACTTTTTTATTCGCCTAAGAATTGTCGTGTTGAAGCTTTTCGAACAGCTCAAAGTTGTCATCTGGTAATTGCGGTAATTTCGGCGTGACATGACTGCAGCACTCAGCGTCTGTCTAAAAGTGAAGGTTAGAAACGTTCGGTGGAAGAACAGTAATCATTTAAGGGCTTAAAAGGCCAAAATTGACGCTGCAGTATCTCAAGACAGTATTATAAAGTCAAAGCTGGGTTTTACCGTAAAATACTTGACTCTGAAATAACATTTTCCTTCTCGTTATTCATCACTCTACTGTTATGTTGTTGTAAACAACAGCATGAACGGAGCCGTTTCCATGGCATTAGCAAGGAAATTCTCAGTTAAGGCTCAGCTAACACCCAGTCTGGTGTAAAGTCCTGCCAACGAGCCTGGCATGTGCGGACGACAACTGCCGCTAATGTGGGTGTCATGGCAATGCATAGCTTCATCCCAGAAAGACGTTTGGGAGCAGTTAATCATTACGGAGTTAAATGGATCAGCGTTTCCAGACTGTAACAGACTTTGAAACTGTTATAAACCTCATATGCTTACATTTGCATATGGACACAAACTTGACAGAACGACCACACATATCAAATGAGTACTTTTTCTCATGTGGCTCATGTATTTCTGTGCTGGGAAATAAAAAGTGGACTAAATAATATTTAATCTAACGAGAGAAAAATCACTTTAATTAACCTATTATCGCCACACATTAGCGTGATTGCATTCAGAGGATGCACGTCACTCATCAAACCCATTCATTTTAAATTCATCAAGCAAGTTAATTAAAGATACTCTAACTATATGCTGAATCTAAAAGCTTTGTTTTCTGTTCTAAAGCATTGGTGAACGCTGCCTTATCAGTCGGCGTATGTCCCTCGCCTAGGTTCTGGTCGAACGCTTGGTTAATTGGAAGTTCAGTTGTTTTCTCTGTACTACTGGCTTTTATTTCTCACTTCTGATTGACACATTTGTCATTTTGTCAAACTTAGCAGAAAACAAATCAATGGATATGGTTGTAAACTCTTCAGTGGAACATTTTTTTTGCGCCTCATCTACCTTACCATTGACTTGATTATTGACCTGTAACTAGTAAAGAGTGCAAGTATGATGTCTGAGTATGGTATCTGAACCAGCATTTGTGATTTCATTAATCAAACTTAGTATCACAGTGTTTTAGCTTTAGCCCCCGGCTCAAACAAACTTTTCTCTAACCCTAAGAGAATGACAGTTTCCTGTTAGCAAGTGATTTTAGCTGATAGGGTACAACGTAAATGATTTTAGCTGATAGGGTAAAATGTGTCTAAAATGTGCTTAAATTAAATTTTCTCCTAAAACAAAACCCACTACAGTACTTTTCTCTACACATCTGTAGTACTTCCACGAGTGCTGCCACTATATATATATATATACACACACACACAGTATATGACAAATACTGATTGAGTAATACAGTTCATGTAAAAAACAGTGTACCATTTTAGATTTTTATTTCAATCACGTTTAGTGTTTCATCAATCTATTTTAATATAAATATTATTCTGGAAATAAATCCATTCATCTGCTCTACTTCTGCTGCAAAATGCAAAATTTGGGCAAGTTACAGGTGTATTGATTATAACCATAGTATTAGAAAATGAAATAGGCCTATCGATAACACTGCTAGATTATAATTTTTAAAAGAGAACATTTTAAAGGAATATGATTGTTTTAAATCCAATCATAGTGAATTATGTCGGCATTTCCACGTGAGCTGCATCAGCTGAAGCTGCAGAGTGAATCAACAGCACTAAAGTAACTAAAGCGCTTTGCCATATAAATTAATAATAAACTCGACCAAATCCTTCCTATAAGAAATGCAAATGCACCATTGAAATTGATATATATATATATATGAAGAGTTCAGATGCAAAAGCCTCTAAGTGCCATTTGAAATTTTCTTCTAAAATGATCATTCTTATCAAGCTTGTATATTTAAGTTCAGTGATTTCACTTAAATGGCAATAAAGATTACCTATTAATTGTCATTTAAATGAAATTACTGAACTTAAATATACAAGCTTGATAAGAATGATCATTTTAGAAGAAAATTTCAAATGGCATTTAGAGGCTTTTGCATCTGAACTCTTCATATATATATATATATATATATATATATATATATATACTGTATACAGTATGTAGGCCAACCCAAAAATGAAAATTCTGCCATCATTTACTCATCCTCATGTCGTTCCAAACCTTTATGACTTTCTTTCTTCTGTGAAACCGAAACAAAGATATTCTGAAAATGTCTGTGGGGTTTATTTTGTTTCTTTTTTTTTTTTGTCCACACAATGAAAGTCAGTGGAGCCCAGTGTTGTTTTGGACCCCATTGACTTAAATTGTATGGACAAAAAAACATTATTCAAAGTATCTTCTCTTATGTTTGGAACAACATGATAGTGAATAAGGACAAAACTATAATTTTTGGGTGAAATATCCCTTTAAGGATGTTTCGGAAAATGACTGATTAAGAAAAAGTTGTCCTTTTGTGTGTATGACATTGTCAATGTATAATGACTTTTACTGGAAAGAAAGATGCAAATGTGAGAAAATGATTTTCTGCAGCGAGATGAAAAGAGCAAAAGGGCGAGAAATGGAGGATGAAAAGAAAAAATGGAGTGAGTGAGGTAAAGAGGGAGAAGAACAGCATTAGAAAGAGAGAGAGAGAGAGAGAGAGAAAGATGGGAATGCTTTTGCTTTCTGCTCTCTCAGCATTTTCTCTACGAGTAGCCCAGTGTGTCTGGAATACTAAACACGGTGAACATGCCCTGCACTTCCAGGAGACACAATCTATTTAACGTCTGTGTGTGTGTGAGTCTCCTCTGTACATAAATATTGAGCTGTTTGTGTGTTTTTCCTGTTTTAAATAACAGTTATCATGACTGATGAAAGTAATATAAGGGGGTTCAATGTAGCATGGAGCTTTATTCTGCATAATTATATGATATATCAATCATAGCCCTGTGCACACATGGATGCACACGCACACATTCTCCTCATTCTGAGATAAATGGCTGTATGTAAACATAAACATGGGTGGCTGAAACACAAAAATCAGAGGTAAGTTTTTTCTTTCCCGTCTCCCACTTCCCTCTCTCTCTCACCTGGCACTGAAGTGCCCAGCGCAACAAACACCACGGCCGTGACGGAGTCTTTGAGCCCAATGGTGCAGCCGAAGTGGGATGCTAGATCTCCGATGAAAGCCGTCAGGAGGCCGATCATGACGATTGACACCACGAAACATGCCCACCCGTTCCAATAGTCGGTGGGCGGGACGAAGGCGAAGAGAACTTTCCAGAAGACGGTGAGGAAATGCATGACGTAATCGAAGCAGGAGGGGAGCTTCTCCTCTCCGCATTCTTCATCATCATCATCCTCACCTGCAGGAAGACAAGATAATGACCTTATACAAGGTGAATAAACATATTCAAGTTTTGCCCCATGACTCATCCTGTACCATTTGTGCTAAAACAAGCAAGAAATATCAAGGATTTACATTGAAGGAGGAATCTGGGATACTATTTATAATATAAATAACCAGAATGTCACATTTTGACTTGGGCTAATAAGGGTGGGGTTTAAGGGGTTCCCCCTCGGTTAAAAACGATAGATAAAGCCTCCACACACACAGCCTTTTATCCATATGTAGAGCACACAGCATGTGTGTGTGTGTTCAGTGAGGTTCTGTTTGATATTCTGTTGGTGCAGCGTTTCCTTGAGAGCGTAAAGAGAGCAGCTTACACACGCCCACACACTGCTCTCTGACAGGTGAGGCTGTTCCTTTAAAGTGTGATTAGATGCTACAGGATGTTCAGGGATCTCGTCTATTCACAGCAGCAGGTGAAAGCAAACGGATTTAAGCCTTTTGGCAGTGGATTTCGTCATTGTTTCGCTAAGACTTTCTATTCACAGGCTAAAACCTGATTACACACTGTGATTTAACGGATGATTGATCAAGTAGATCGTTAGATTGGGACACATTCGTTGAGACAGAACATTCATATATGATCATTTAAAATATGCAAAAATGTGTGTATGTTGGACTGTTTCATTACAGCCCAAGAGTATTAGGTCACAATGATGTTTGCTGTCACTGCAGTACATGCGTGTATATATGGACACATCTGTGGCAAAAAGACAGAGAAGGTCAACATGATGCTTTATGTGCGGTCCACGAGTGTGTCTGAAGGGTGTAAATGCCTCATAAAAGAGCATCAGATTGCTTTCAGACAACAGTAATACATGCATACATGACTATGCCATTGACAAATGGCATTTAAAAAACAAACAAACATGATTAATGTTCTATATTGTATACTCACTGTCTATTATTGTAGCTTTTAATTGTATATTTTTAGTTTTCATTTTAGTTTAATTTGTAATAATTTAGTTTAGTGTGCCTATATACTTTTGTTTAGTTTAAAAGAAATTCTATATATCTTTAATTTTAGTTTTAGTAATTTTAATAAGTTAAAATGTAAAATTTTTCATTTCATATTTTATTTCTATATTTATATGACCCAAACTGACCTAAACCCTTAAAGATATATATATATATATATATATACATACATGCCATTATCCCCTTCCCTCCTTCACTTATAATGGTTTTGTTAATTATAATTTATTTATAAAAAAAATTCTTCATGAATAATTTTCCCAATTAATGACATCCCCAATTGTCCCAAAGGAAGGTTGGATCACAATGTAGCTCAATTCTGTGTCCTTTTTTGTGTCAAGTCCATAGATAAGTAAACCCTTACACCCACAGTTCTGATGTTGTGTTGACTCTCTTTATCTTTCCATATAAATTATCTCGCTGTGCAGCAGCGAGTCTGACATTTAGCAAAGCTTTTAAACTTTAAACTCTTCAATATTACTGCCATTAACCACAGACCTTTTCCGCTTCTTTGTATCTGTGTGCATTTGTGTATTGTGTATATTTACGTGTGTACATCTGCATGTCCTGATAAAAAGTCATGGAAAAAGCTCTGTTCCTTCCTCCGCGGCATTAGGAAAAAAAGAATCCAGTGTTCCATTTGTCATCAGTCAATGACATCTGTAAGGAACCAATGGGCTCTATGCACGGCGGTACATCCGGTGAAGGTCTAAGGATGCTGGATAACTTCCGCCGATCGTAAAGTCCAATGCTATACCGAGAATTTATTTTGGTTTTTATACTCTATATACTAAAGAAACGTTAGTCACAAAAAACAGACAAAACAGACACCCCTCATTTTATTTATGCGTCTTTGTTTATTATATTAAATAAGCATAACTATAAAATTACATCTAAACGTATTAAATTTTCGTTTCAAAGACGGGAGGAGAGTAAATTTTGAAGACTCTGCCATAATCTTGTTTTCCTCGGTTTTCCTTTGCTTTAAATCTCCCCAACCGGAAACTGAAGAGTAGCATTGTGTCGAATGCGGAACTTATTCGTGCATATTGCCTATTAATGCAAATTTGATGTTAGATAGGATGATTGCATTGCTTTTTTTCCAGTATGAAAGTAAATAGTGCTGCCAAGATCCAAAAATGAAAAAACAAAACAAAATTATTGTATAAATAGTCTATATGACTTAGGCATTTGAAAACGCACATTTAAATTCGCTGCACTGTGATTTATTAAAGGCACACAAGAACTATGAACATGTATAGTAGCATTATTTATTGAAAACCTGGCCTGACACATCTTGACACACCAAATTTGAAAATATGTAAGAAAATATGTGAATTTGTATGACAATTTGAGAGGTGTAGTGGAGGATAAAAACTACAAATATATATATATATATATATGAAATAACTAAATGTTGTATGAAAAGACTTGGTCTGACAGCAGTTGTGTAATACTGGTGATTACAGATTACAGGTCAGATCTAAAAGAACACACACACACACACACACACACATGCTTTTAACCTTGCTTTGCCCCAGAGCACAAATTGGCACACTGATAGGTGTTCATGTGTGAATCACTAAGTCACCAACACCTGATCCACACAAACACACACACACAAACACATGGCTAGCAGCAGCAGCAGCAGCAGCAGCCTCTCATCAGTGATCATCAGTCACTCTTAGTCCGTGCTGCGAGTGCTAATTACTTCAGAGAAAACAAACCCAAAAAATAAATAAATCCCTCTCTTGTTTTTCTCTTTCTCCACCTTCATCTTCATTTCTGTCCTTTGCACAAATAACGAAGACTCCTTCGCACGGCTGTAAGTGTCTCGTGACACTTACGTGAGGTGAGGATGTAAAATGGAATTTCCCAAGTAGCACAGTTGCCACCAGGGGGCGCTTTACAGCAGAGATATATTACTGTATGCTCTTAAAAATAGGTTCTTTATTGGCATTGATGGTTCCATGAAGAACCTTTAACATCCATTGAACAAAAGTTCATTTATAGTGGAAATAGTGGATCACCTCTTCTCTCACAGTGTCTCAAATGGATAAATAAAGGATTCAGTCTATCTAAATCCTGCCTTTCCGCAAGCCTACCCTGATTGGTCAGACGGTCAAGCCTGTTGTGATTGGTCTACCGCTCACAGCGCGTGTTGGAAACAAAATGCATAACTGAATTTCAGCTTCCTCAGCGCTTGTATACTTGTATACATACATAGTGATATGAACAGTAACAATGGTGTCGGTTTTTCGTATCAGTTCAAGCCTCAGTTCGAGTCTCAGTCCTCATTGGATTTGCAATGCTCAACACAAACCAACTCTCAACAACTTTTTGGCAAAGTCCATGCAGGCTGACATGTGGCTTTTACTGAGGATTGGCTTCATCCAGGCCTGATTGGTGGAGTGCTGCAGAGATGGGTTTTCTTCTGGAAGGTTCTCCTCTCTCCACAGAGAAACGCTGGAGTTCTGTCAGAATGACTGCTCTCTCCCTGACCAATGCCCTTCTCCCTCGGGCGGCCAGCTCTAGGAAGAGTCCTGGTGGTTCCAAACTTCTTCCATTTCTGGATGATGGAGGCCACTGTGCTCAGTGGGACCTTCAATGCTACAGAAATTGTGCCTGTGCCTCAATACAATCCTGTCTCGGAGGTCTACATACAATTTCTTGGACTTCATGTCTTGATCTGTGCTCTGACATGTAGCCTACTGTTAAATTTCGGACCTTATATAGACAGGTGTGTGCATTTCCAGGTGGACTCCAATCAAGTTGTAGAAACATCTCAAGGATGATCAGTGGAAATAGGATGTACCTGAACTCAATTTTGAGTGTCATGGCAAAGCCTGTAAATATTTATGTATGTTTTTTCGTATTTAACTTTTGATAAATTTGCAAGGACTTAAAAAAAACTTCTTTTATGTTGTCATTATGTGGTATTGTTTATAGAATTTTAAGGAAAATAATGAATTTAATCCATTTTGGAATAAGACTGTTACATAACAAATTGTGGAAAAAAGTGAAGCGCTGTGAATACTTTCCAGGTGCACTATAAATGTTTACTGAAGGTTTCTTTAGGGAATACAAAATGGTTTTTCTATGGCATTGCTACAAAACCCTCTTTTGGAACATACATGTACCATACATGGCCATATGTTCAGTACAATCACACACACTTACAAACAGTGAACAAAAAAAATCATTCTCCTGAACAAGGTCAGACTAAATCACAGGAAATAAAACTTTGGCAAACTAGTACTTGGTACAACGAATACTGTACGGAAATATGCTAAAAAATATTTTAGTGTCAACATAGTACCAACGTATCAGTGCATTTGACATTTCAAGTGAAAAAAAAAAGTTTATTTGATGTAATCTATTAGGGCTGTCAGTTAAATGTGTTATTAATTGCATTAACGCAAACCCATTTTAACGGCGTGCGATTAACAGTCTTTTTGGCCTAGCACGCTTCATCATTTTTTTCACATACTTTTGAAACAGGACGCGACATGTGCGCGCCAGGGCTATGAAACCCATTCATTTCAATGGCTTGCGCCGTGCAAGGACGTTTTGAAAGCGCAAGCGGATCTAACTAGACCGGAAACAAAACAACAGGCACAACACACACAATTGTTTTGGCTTGGGCTTTTTTCCCATCGGTCATCCCCAGGGTGTATACCATCACGTAGGCTATACCATGACTTCTCCCGCCTTCGACTCTGCCCTGAAGCCTCATCCTGGCTGGTCACTGGCTCTACATCTACACATTGCCTTTAGAATATTAGGTATTTAAAAAAAAATATGTATTGCATATTATATACTGTTTTTTTAATTAATTTATTTGATAAAAAATATGTATATTTTAAAACTTTTAAAAATGAATACGTTAATACGTTCTATTTCGAATAAATTTTGCTTATAAAAACTAAATGTAGCCTTAATGAGCATAAGTACCACATATAAAGTAAAACTAAATAAAAATAATAAAAATAAACATAATTTCTAGTTTTTCTACTTTTTATTACCTTTAGATATGTACCTTTCATGAATCCTTCTTATTTAAATAATAATTTGCATTAAATTTGCTAACTATTTTATTTCAAGATTATATACAATGCGGCAAAACATTACTGCAACACGTCTTTTCTGTTTTCATTGTGCTTTGTAGGGCTATCAGTTAAACACGTAATTAACGGCGTTAACGCAAACCCATTTTAACGTCAGCATTTCTTTCACCCTTTTATTGACGGGCAGTGTTACATTGTGTGAGAGATTATTTGCTCCAAATGAGAATGTTAGTGTGAAATTGAACACAGTATACATATGTACGTTTTGTTTTCAATAATAATAAAAAAAAAACATTTGCACAAAGCAAGCCGATCCACTTTTCCATGTTGATAAGACATTAAAATTAGAAAAAAAAGAATGGGACAAAAAGAAATCAAGAGACATTTAGAATAGATAAAAATGTGCGATTAATTGCAAGTTAACTATGACATTAATGCGATTAATCGCGGTTAAATCTTTTAAACGTTTGACAGCACTACAATCTATATAACCCATGGATGTCTAATCCTGGAACCCTGCAGAGCCTAGATTTAAACTTAATTAAACACACTTGAACCAGTTAAGTGAGCTCTTCAGGATTACTAGAAACTTCCAGGCAGGGGTATTGATACTGAAGCGGAGCTCTACAGGAAGATGGCCCTCAAGGAGCAGGATTGATCACCCTGGATATAACCCAGTTGAAAACAAAGTGCTAAACAGTGGCATTTAACTAATGCAGGGACTTCTGGCAACACTTATAAACGATTAACATTTCGAACAAATTATTCTTTTTTAATGAATCGCTAAATCTGACCTGCTGTTGCTCTTCACAACCCAAATACTCACCAGCACTGACTGTGATGGCCTCAATAAACTGGTCCCTCCAGCTGTTGGTGCCAACCAGAAGAGCCAAGTTTGTCTTTTTAATCAGCTTATCAACAGTGTTCTATAGAGAAGAGAGAGACACAGCAAACAAAGAAAATGTACGGCTTCATTACTGTCCAGTGCAACTGAGAACAAGAATAAACAAACATACACACACTTCAGACGGGGCGGGCCACAATCCATCGAGTGCTTCTGACTGCTCTCTGGTCTGCCCCGCTGTGAAGTGTGTGTGGGATCGGAGTGTGTGCATGTCTCAGCATGGCTAGTGCGTGTGGGCTGAAGTGCAGGCGTGTGCATGTGTTTCGTCCTGAAGTGTGTGGAGGCGACCGATGAGATGTCAATGTTTAAGATCCTCGACCTTCCCTGACAGAACGAGAGTGTTTCTATAAGGAACTAGAAGGAAACTTGTTTCTACAGAAAAGCAGGCATCTACAGACTTGCAGTCGGATGTATTTTTAATTCACGCTGTATGTAACCTATAAAGTAAGTGATAAATGTAGGTTATCGTATACTAGCAACTATTATCAATGAAAATCATCCACAAATCATAAAAAATCCAAAGTTTACAAAGTATACTGCAGTAGAGATCTTACCGGGAGATCTGTTTTGTATTCATATGATAATTGGCTTTTGGTAGATTTATGACAGTATTGTTACTTAACCTCAAGTTGTTAAAAACCTGTATGACTGACTTTGTTCTGCACAACACAACAGAAGATAATTGGACACTCGTGAATTTCAATGAATAGAGGGATAAACATGTAGACATTCTTCAATTATCTTCTTTTGTGTTTCACAAAAGAAAAAAGTCATACAAGTTTACAACCACATGAAGTTGAGTAAATGATGACAGAACTGTCATTTTTGGTGGAAGTATCCCTTGGTTGATTTAATGGGATTATGAATTAATGAAGAAAGTGGGAACTGTGTAGCAAAATAACTCACCTTGAATTCATAAGATTCCTCGATGATAACCTCTAGTTTGGGGTGATCCCCGAGCATTGGCTTCCCCATTTCAGCGATGCGTCGCTCCTCATCATCTTCCCCTGTCAGAGGCTCCTCCTCTTCCTTCCCCGCCTCTTTCTCCACCTCTGAAAACAAAAGCACAAGTCAGAGAGAAACAAACCCACCTTATATTTCTTTGTGGATCAATAGGTTTCTGTGGCTAAACTGGATTGTGTAACAAGAATTTGGCTCTGCTGGGGAAAATCCTTTAAAAAGTCAAAATCTCAGATCTTCGTTGGTAAATTTAGAAAACAGGGTACATTTAATAAATCATACATTTATAACAGAACACATACAGACCACTGTGACACTGTATATATGAGAGCTGTGTCAGGGGCAGGATTTTTCCTTCATTTGTTTCAGCGATGAAGCTTCTATGGGCCCTGGGTAAGTTACTGTGAGACATACACAGCCCCTGATCATGTGACTGGGTTTAGCCCAATCAATCACCCACATTCACACACACACACAATGAAATGAGAGGGTCAAAAGAAAAGAAGCAGATGCAGATCGACATGGGGGTATGATGAGATTTGGAAATTAAGTAACAATAGAGACATGCACATGCTGATGTGGACAGAAAAGGAAAAGGGCGGGAAAGGAGAAAATGACAATCCTTTGGGCAGCAACATGGTAATTAACTCCTATCACATACATTCTCTTTTCAATTTCTCTTTCTGTCTCATATTTATTTCATATTTCCTTTCAGTTCACAAGCTCAGCTGGCATTACCATAACAACTCAGCAATAGTCATAAAACAATGTTATGATGACAACATTCCCAAGCTCAAAACAAACATGAGCCTCATAGGCAGAAATGGCAGCATAAACGAATTAAATATCTAATGGAACAAATAAATCACAAGCCACAAATGAACCCAGAGGCATTAGTGGAGGATTCCAGCATAAGATTCACTGTCAGATTAATGGCAGAGCAACTCGCTCCTGTAGCCTAAACAGCCTCTCTCTCTCTCTCGATATTTTATGTTCATCCGTTCCAGTGTAATCCGTTCATCTTTATTCTCAGACGGCAAGTTCTCCTTTTTAGCGAATAACTTGCTTTTCCACACTTTTCTGCCAGTTGATTTGTGAGATAACAAAATACACACATCACCATCTCTTTCAGTTTCTGTCCCTCTGAATGCAGATCATTTTTCCACACTGTGTTTAGTCTTACATGTTATTTCACTATCTCCTCGGTTTTAGGATGTAACAGTCTCTCAATCATTTTTTCTCGCAAACGGTAGTTCTATTTTGTTTGTAGTATCTGTAAAGAAGACACAATAAATTGAAAATAAGAACTGATTGGTCAAATTGTATTGGCCCTGTTTGAAGTAGTAAGTCAATACAAAATTGATAGCGTATAATGGACTGACCAATAACTAGTTAAAGAAAATTGAAGAGGAACAGGCAGAACAATAATTGGGTCTTACAAATATCAATAATTGGGTCAGAGAGGTTTGAGTGATGTCATGCTTAAATTATGCTGTCACTCACATTAAATATTAAAATTCCAACTATACAGAACACAAATATAAGAGCTAATTTTACCGAAATACAACAATATTAAAGGGCATGGAATGTAATTTACTATAAAAAAATAATTAAATATAATTTTTTTTGATATTATTATAGATTGGTATTTTAATATACCAATCTTTAAAATTAAATAATTTATAAAATAAATACAAATAAAAATGAAGAGATTTCTTATGCGAGGTGGGAAAAGTTCCAGAACTATTTTTTCTAATTATTGTTAACCAGCTGGTAATCAAAGTAATACATTTACTATTTCAGGCCCATTGTAGATCTGTGTCCATCACTGAGATGTGTAGCGTGGCAACCACAGAAAAAAAAAAAAAAAAGCTAAAAGATGTGGCACATCTCAGAAGTAAAAGTAAAGACAAATTAAAAACTAATTAGTCACATTGAGAATTTGTGAGTAGCTTCAGTAATTGAATGAGATGCTGCAAATTTTTCATATTCAGTCAATAGATGCGACACAACATTAAGATGGAGTCAGGATCATGTAATTTGATATTGATTTAATTGGCTGATGTTCTCTCTCTCTTGTTTTGTCCTTGAAAACAGAGCTATCATTTTCAGTCTACAGCTTGTACACACGCACACGTACACACACACACACCCCTTTCATTCTCATCCAGCCATCTCTTTACTGTCCTTTATTTTTCTAGCATCTCTTCTTTCTTTCATAATAAGTAATCTCTTTTCTATTATCTTCAAGTATGAAGGTTTTTAATCATCCAAGGTACTCTCAAATGCCTTACAAACAAAGCTAATCGAATGCAAATGGACTCGATTATTAATTATTTTGAAAAAGTTTCACCACTCATCTGAGTGTGTTAATCACTGATGAAGTCATATGGTGGTGTAGCAAAACATCATCAAAAATGCATAACCAAATCCAGCTGCATTTCATTGAATTCTACCTGATGTTCCTCTCTCTAATTTGCTCCTATTTCCCATGTTTTGACCTTTGGATCCCTTTTAATGCATCTTATATCACTTAAGCTAAAATACATCATAAACCAAAATCATTAAATATATTTTTTATATTTTTAATATGCATATGATAAAAACAAATCGAAACACATCAAAATACTGAAGTGCTGGGAAACTGAACCGCTCTGCTTCCTGGAAAAGAAATGTTTATCTAAATGTGAGATGAAACACACTCAAACAACCTTGGCTTTGAAGACAGCTCACAATCTCAAGCTCGGAGTCTTTTCCAGCTCCCCTAATCTCTCCTCATGATTTACAGCACCGGATCTGAACTCATTTGCTAGCGTGCTTTAACATTTCCTTTGTGTCTAGTTATGAGATTATTGCAAGGAAACGAAATGAAACAATTCGCTTTGAAGCTTGCTTTCTTTCTGAAGTATATTGAAAACACCCTATATGGTAAAATATAAAAAGATTGTGTAAGAGCAGATGATGATCACTATATAAATAAAAGGGTCATATCATTAAAATGTAAGTGCCCTTTCTAAATAAACGTTTTGTGTAGTATATGAACAAACTGCAAGCTTCAGACTATAAAGACCATATACTAGTATTCAAAAATTTTGGGTCAATAAGATTATTATTTTTTTTAAAGAAATTAATTAAGGCTGTCAAACGATTAATTGCATCCAAAATAAAAGTTTGTGTTAACATAATATATGTGGGTGGACTGTGTATAATTATTTTGTATATATATAAATACAGAAGTATTAATTTTAGGGCTGTCAAACGATTAATCGCGATTAATTGCATCCAAATTAAAAGTTTGTGTTTACATAATATATGTGGGTGGATTGTGTATAATTATTTTGTATATATATATATATATATATATGAAGAGTTCAGATGCAAAAGCCTCTAAATGCCATTTGAAATTTTCATCTTTAATGATGATTTTTATCAAACTTGTATATTTAAGTTCAGTAATTTCACTTAAATAACAATTAATAGGTAATTATCATTGCCATTTAGGTGAAATTACTGAACTTAAATATACAAGTTTGATAAAAAATCATCATTAAAGAAGAAAATTTCAAATGGCATTTAGAGGCTTTTGCATCTGAACTCTTCATATATAAATAGACACATGCATGTATATTTAAGAAAAATGTATAAATATATAAAATATTTATACATAATATAATTTATATTTAATTTTATATACAGTATACACATGAAAATATTTCTTAAACATATACAAGCATGTGTGTGTATTTATATATATAAAATTCTTATACAGTGTCCACCCACATATATTATGTAAACACAGACTTTTATTTTGGAAGCGATTAATCGCGATTAATCGTTTGAAAGCCCTAAAATTAATACTTTTATTCAGCAAGCATGAGCATATGAGACTGAAGACTGCTGAAATGGCTGCTGAAAATTCTGCTTTGTTATTAGAGGAATAAATTACATTGTAACATTTCACAATATTTATGATTTATTGTATTTAAAAAAAAAAAAAAACCCTGTGCCTCGGAGAGTTCTTTCAAAAACAACCTGATACCAATCTTTTGAGCAGTGGTGCATATTGAAATAAAACTGCAGATACGGCTTGTTCTAAAATCTTAATATGTTAATATGCATTTGACCGCCCACATTTAAACATTAACAGGGCTTAATGTTTTATTATTAACAGGGCTTAATTTATATTCTTGCTACTTAACCTTTTCAGATACCATTACTGGCACATAACTAAAGACAAGAGTAAGATATGAAGGAAATCTAGCAAAACGTTGTTCTGATCCTGGCAAGGTCATTGCTAAAATAAAAAAAAAATGACAGGTGAGTTGGTGTTCCCTCACTGGACGTATCAGGGCCGATTAGCCGCTACATGATGAATGTTGAAAACTGAGTCTTTACTATGTTTTTGCTGTAAAAACAAGCATGTTTTAATGCATATGACCCCTTTAAAGTACATGTATAATGTTTGTGTGTTATTATGCGAGTAGTTGCGTAATCAGCGAAAGCAAAGAAAAGTCATTAGATTAGTAAAACAGCAAACAGACACCAGAGAGAGAGAGAGAGACAGAGAGGGTGAGACTCTGCCCAGAGGGAGAAGAAGAGTAAAAAGCGAAGGAGACACTGTGAGAGGGAAAGAAACCTCTGTATACTGTCCATCCTCTCCTTCTCCAAAGTGGCGTCTGTAGCTCTACGCAAAAGCTGCATTGCTTATCGTATTCCTCTCGATTGAGAACCCTGACTGCTATCGTCTTCCTGCAGAAACAAGACAACAGGAGGGGGTTGGAATAATGCATGCATGATACACAAACACACACACGCACACACGGGGACTGGGCTGCAGGGCTGTCGATGGTGTAGCTTGGCCTGTAGTTGATCTCGATGATGATCCAGAGGACTGGTGTTCAGTCTGTGTGTATGTGTGTGTGTGCTGTATGTGTGGTTCCTCGCCAGACTCAGGCCACGCCCCCCACCTTCCGTCTCATTGGTCTCTACGAGCTGAGGGTCTCCGATCTCCAGGAAGAAGCTCTTGTTCTTCTCGTATTCTTCGTCATCAATTATCCTGACTTTTATTGTTTTGCTGGAAGGGGAGAGAAAGAAAAAGAAGGGGAGGAAGAAAAGAGTGAGGAAAAGACAGGCCAAGAGAAAAAGAAGAAAGAAAGATAAACGGCATGCAGTCATGCAGAGGCAGACCGTCAGAATAAGAGGATGATGCAAGAGAGACAGATAGAGAGAGCAGCCTCATCAATTCTGACTGTGTCTAAATACACTCACAACCACAGATACAATCAATATTCCCTCTTATTTTTGTACTTGAAAAATTATTCAATTAAATGATCACTGTTTCTCAATTCCAAGAACGCAAATAACAGTCTTGCCTTCTCGTGGAGACTGGTCTTGCCAGGGTACCTTGAAAGAACGAACTTAGAAGGACGCAAGGACACAGAACTCATCCTTTTGTGAACTGAGATGTGCTGCGATCTTGTTGCTCAACTGACCGTCACAGCATATTATAAGCCAAATTACAATAAATGCAACATAACATAAACAAAAATGCTTCACGAAACAAATTCCGCTTCGCGTCAGTGTCCTGGATCAGCCTGTCAGGTTGCTCTACATTATCCCTTACATAATGTATGTTCGTTCATTCATTCAACAACATTTTCTGGGTTTTCTCAAGTTTTTTCCTCACTTTTTTTCCCGTCATCTGTACTGGAGCAACACCCGGCTCGGCATGCTCAGAGGAAACATTGAATACAAACCTCCACCTCCAGGCTAACAACATCATCATCATCATCATCATCATCATCAGAACCATAAACAAAATCTTTCATGCACAGATTTAGACCACTTGCTTCCATGCTTGCACAACCTTTCTCCAAGAGTAACCCCAGTGCAGAACATTACAACCAGAAAATCTCCACAGCAAATCATGGTGTACATTGTTTAACATAAATATATATATATATATATATATATATATATATATATATATTTTTTTTTTTTTTACCAGAAAAATGTATTTATGAAAGTCCGAAGACAGGACTACTAGGATAATCGCATCCAAAATAAAAATTTGAGTTTACATAATATAAGTGTGTGTAGTGTGTATAATTAATTTGTATATATAAATACACACACATGAATGTATATAATTAAGAAATATTTGCATGTATATACTTTATATATATTTATGCATAATTAATATTATATATAAATACAAATATTTCATCTATAAATAATTTTTTTTTTCTTAAATATGCATGCATGTGTGTGTATTTATATATAAAAAATAATTATACACAGTGCACCCACATATATTATGTAAACACAAACTTTCATTTTGGATGTGATTAATCGCGATTAATCGTTGCCCATCCCTGGCAATAAGTGGAACGGGAATTTTAGAATAACACAAGAGTCATTTATTATACTATTACGCTATATTCAACAACAACAACAACAACAACTCGTTCTGTGTCATGCCATTATACAATTTCTACATCATTGCACATGGACAGAACTTTCCAGTTTCGTTTTTCAACCCCAGCAAGTGTTTACGTGTCCTCTTGAACAGAAGAGAAAAAGGTTTTAACCAATTTCAGCCAGATTTGGCCAATTAATTCTGATTGGTGTGGTTACATGTGACTTCTCCAACTGTGCTACTAGTCCAATTACAAATATATTATCCATATAAACACAGCTAATGAAGAAAAGGCATGAGAAAATGAAGCAAGAAAGACAGAAGTGTCCTCAAATGCTGGCAAATGCTTCAGGGAAGACTGATAAACACAAACACTAGCTTTCTGTCTTGCAATTTTATGTTTCTTCATTGGTTGTCACAGAAACAGTGTTAGACAGTTTCCAGATCTGCACGGTATGATGCAGTAAGCTGTTCATGTGTGGGAATGGCCCTCTCCACTCCTCATTTGAATGTGGGTTAGGTTCAGCTGAGGTCACAACTCACGGCAGTGCGCTCACGCTACATCAATTAGTCATAGAACTGCTTTTACACGCACACAAAGGTTTTAAAAATCACAGCGCATGCCGGTTTTATTATGCGTGCATGCGTGTGGTGTTTTCCTATTTATTCTTTGTATGTTTTGTTCTTGTCAAGTGATTTTGACATCCATCATCTAATCTCATTACCCACCTAAATTCTCCCTCTCTCATTTCAAATGATGCATCATATTTATAACTGTATTGGACAATGTTTATTATATCTGACAGAAAACAAAGTGATCTTTTAAGTGTGTGTGGTGGAGATGAGATGTTAATTAGAAGTGTTCTTGAGCTCTGTGAATAGTGCAGATGTTTTGAGATGGTCCTCACTGCAGAACACGAAATCCACATTACATATACCTAAACCTACCCATCTCCACCCCTTGGTCCCTAACCCCACCCCTAATCCCACCCATCTCCACCCCTTGGATCTGGATCCAACTCCGCCCCCTGGATCTCGTGTACTGCAATTAGATGCAACTGGAAGTTTTTATCATTCAACAAAACCAAGACAACAGATTCACAAGCAGTCAACACATCAGAACTCAGTGCAAACATGTTAACAGTTTAAGCTCTGGGTGAGACAAACTGTGACCATGTGACACAAAAACACCTGCTAAACCCACTGGCAGAATATCTACACTTTTCACAACCATGTTGTCTACACCGCTTTTCAGTGGCGGAACAAATCAACTGCTGTTGAAGAATCTTAAGCATGAAAGCAAAATAAATTATATTCACAAGCAAGTGACTCTAATGAGCCAATTCACAAACAACACTTAAAATAATGAACCGATCGTTCTATAACAAATCAGTCAAAAAGACTCAAATAATGTATTGGTCTTGAGTCAGTCTGACTAATCATTCACTTCACTGACTTACTGAGTCACAAAACATCTTTATCTTTAGGTTGTTCAAATGACATGTAGGTAAAGAATAATATTAAACTACTATTTAAATATTTATTTTGCCCTCTAACCTTGAATCTAACTTTCAAACTAATCTGTCTGCATTTTAAAGGGGTGATGAACTGAGAAATCAAATTTTCCTTGAGCTTTTGACATCTAAGAGGTCATCATATTATAAGAATATCCTGTAAGTTTCAGAACTGAAAACGTCCTTGTTAGTCCAATAAAAGCTTTTATTGACACAGCCTCTAAAAACGACTCGTTTTTAAAAGTGGGGAACTATGACGACAAAGAGGATAAAACACCACCCCCACAGAAGATGATCAACGCCTGCTTCACCACGGCAGGTTTAGCCCCGCCCACCGATTCGCGCATTACACACATAAGTATCATACATGTACATGCTTACCTCGTGATGACAAACTGGATCGCTACCGAGCAATACAGAATATTGTGCAGTGCCTGGTTGTGCAAGACAGTCGCTGCATAAGCTTCCTGTGTATTCCAATAGGACTGCATGGATAAAATTTATTTTTAATGACGTTCCAGCTGATGAGGTAAAACATCGTCGTCTGTTCGCTTCATTTCACTGAGGATTGTTTTGTCAACAAGACTGGATCTGCAGACCGATTAAGAGTAAAGAACGGTGGTGTGCCGTCTATATTGGATCTGACAGGAATATTGTGCAACACACGGACTCTTGGTCGAACATGTATGGGCAAATCCGGTTGCCATTTGACAACATAGGACGTTTTCCCCCACGTACACCGACTGGTGAGTGAAACTCATTATAATATGCAAAACTGTTCTCCACTCGCAGCAGTGGGTGTTTACTTCCAAGTCTTCAGTGCGACACGCCCATAAAAACCGACTGTTTTTTAGGTAGGCTCACAACCAGGGTACAAAATAGCCTATTACTTGTTCATTTTGATGTTTTTGAATGCAAAAACCAAGCGAACGTTATAAGTTGACCTCAGACAACAATATAATAACATTTAAAAAGCCAGTTCATGACCCCTTTAAATGTACTTCAAGACATTATACGTTTATTAAGCAATTTCCTCATGTAAACCATTGGCTCGTTAACTTAATGTAAGGTTTCTCAGCTTTTACTATTCTCATGGGCCTGACCTGACACACCACACACACACAAAACTTGACACGATCGACGTGAAGAATCACACACTGAAGCCTCTTGTATTCAGTATAGCATTTCTCTCCTAGCTTGCCGTTACAGTAGATGACAGTGGCTTTATGCGTGAGTACGTTCCCCTCTGAGAGCGCTGTCTCTCTTCAGCAGCTCAAATTTGAGCCTGCAGGAAATCAAAGCATGTTTTAGATTAAGCCAAACGGGCAGGGGCTTGTGGGAGACGCTCAAGGTCTTGAATCTCTGATCAGGGCGTTATATAAAGCTGGTCCAATTCAAGACTGTCCAGAAACCAAGCACTGCAACATGAGACATCACACATGTATCTCACTTATTTAAGACACAGTTGGGAACAGTGTAGCAGATACATAAATGATATGACACTATCTGATCATTAATATACCTGCATTGCAGTAGCTTTGATCAGAAGAGATCCTGACACACACACTTGGCACAATCTCTTTCACACGGCTCCTTAAAATACATATATAGCTCATAAAGCTCATCAACCACTTCCTGCTTGAAATGATCTTCAGGTCGATGCTTCTAGAGGATTCGCATATATGTTTCAAACCATTGGTGGGACAGTCAGGAAGCTTAAACTCACACACTCTTGCTGCAGTGCTTGCAGATAATCGCCCGTCGCTGGTGCATTACAGTGCGTCAGTGACTGCGGTTGATGTGGACATATATCTCTG